TGGTCATAACAAATTACTACAGTATACTAGCAAATTACAACATGCAGAACAAAATAAAAGGACTTATGAATAAATACCATTGAGTATAATGCATTTAGGGTGTAAATACTGTGTATTAAGCGGCTGGATGATTAAGTTTTGCTTTTAAACCGCTTACTTTTGGTATTGCTTGCATCGAATTTGTCTGAATTTCAATGAAATTGATAAATTTCATCAATATACGTCATTAAAATTCCTTACTTCATAAAAACCTTGAGACGTTAACGCTCCGCTCAACTGGATTTCACTACCGTGAAAGCAATCCAAGTATAATTCAAGTTCTTTGAAACTGGGAAGAAACAAAAACATAGTCAAGCATTATAGTTTTGATGTCATGTTTATTGTCTGTTTTACTTTAATAAACATTATTAAGAATTTGTTTATGACATGATTTTTTTTCTTCGAAACGATGTTTAACTGGGCTTCAGACATGGTACTAAAAATAACTAAAAACAAAATTGTAATTGTAATCTATTTTACCACATGTATTTTGACAAGAAAATCTATAAACAACCTCCTGTACGAGTTGCAATAAGTAACGGTGGTTTTCGACCTGAACACAACTGTTATTTTATATGGATTTTTCGTATATGGAAAATACTTTAATACTTTTCAATGAAATGGCGACCATACAAAGTATGTGTTTTAAGCCAAGTATGAATGGAGATGAGTGTAAATATAATGGATACGTAGATGGGATTGCAGTGTTCAAAGTTGTCGCGTATGTAGCATTCAGTGTAGACTGCAAGTCTGTAGTTTAGGAGTTGGGAGATTTTAACTGCTGGTGATATACACTATAACGCAATGTTGGTAACGTGCCAGTGTATACGAATGCCGTATCCTACGGGAAATGCAAACATCTTGAGAAAGACTATTCGCAGTAGCTACAGTGTTGTCAATTGCGTTGTCCTTGCAACAAACGTCAACGATATCAAAATATGTTAACATGGTGAAAACTGAAGATTTTTCATAGCTTCAACCCATGCTCCAGACCTCATATGTACACAACTAGTTACACATTTCAAACTAGTAACAAAATAGTGTGTCCGCAGGGATGCTAAACCGTTTTTGAACAGTTGCTTTCGACATGCTTTGTTTTATCAATGTGGCTGATTAAAGTCCACTTCATAGAAGCCAGTGCAACAAAACACACTATTATTTCGTCACCGTTGTGATGCATTTCCCTGGTTAAAGTCAGTTATATTATTATTTGGGTTTTGTGAGGGATTTAGAATGTAAGCAAACCTCGATTGTAGGAAGTAAGGTTCCTTGTATAGGCCTCACCTCTCGAGTTGGTATTTTGTATTTGAAATATAACTCAGCAATACGTGTAGTGATGAAAATTATGAACCTAAGTATAAAAAAAGTTTTAATTCAAAAGGTTGGTAGAATTTGAATTGGTTTAAATTTGAGTTTAAATTGGTTGGTAGAGAGCATATAGGCACTTTTTTGCTGTGGATTTTTGTAATAGCAAATTGTTGTAAGAGCAAATGTTTGTCCGCTTTTGCAAGCGAATGCGCGCTGGAGAGGTCGATACGAGAACCGGAGTTTTGCCAACGGGTGTCAGGTAGATGGGGGGGGGATGCCTTCGGCCACCTCTTGGTGCGGAGATTTGCCAACGGTGGTGGTGGGAGAAAGAGTGTGACGGAGGGAGGGAGAGCGATTGTCAGGGTTGTCTACGCTTGGCAGTTATGCGCTTGTCGCAGTGGGTTAGGTTAGGTTAGGTTACGTTAGGTTAGGTTAGGTTAAAAATTCAATACATTTCCTTTCACAGTCAGAGGTGCATAACTCCATTACTTTGAATACAGTCAGCATCCTGCCTGGTTTGTCCACCCCTAGCGGAAGCCACTCTCACGGTCACGAGTAATCGCTCTCGCTCAACCCACAACCGTTGGCAAAACTCCGCAGTATGTGGAATTCATGGATGGGGACCCTTTCTACCTGATACCCGTTGGCAAAACTCCTACACTCGGTAGATACTATAGACATATGCACTAAAACGAAAAAAAAATTATTACAAATTGAATTTTAAGATATAAGTATTTTGTAAGAATGCGATGGTCCATACAAATTGTACATAATCTAAACAGTTCATACTTACTCAAAGAAGTAGGTTTCATACGGTTTGGATTCTTGTTTCTACTGATGCTTGTTCTTGTTGCAGACCTCAGAAGAAATGTGGCGTGCGGGCGCCAGGTAGCACCACCGTCGCTTATGACGTCATGCGTTGGCGCTGCTCCGCCATTTTGATCACGATTCTTGCTGCAACAGGCGGTAAATATTACATGTAACAAAGTATATACTGTACCACATGTCCTATATACAGGGTGACAAAAAAGTCTGGAAACGGCTTGATATCTTTTTAACTAAATTCGTTAGAAAATTCAAACCTTTCACATCAACTTATATGTATGAAAACTACTTTTTGCAAGTATTACCATTTTTTTACCTTCACCAGGGGACGGCCCACGAGGAGTAGGTACACAATCTTTAATGTAAGCATAGGTTGATATGCACATCATTTTAAAGGTCTGGTCAAGTGGAGTTTATTGCCGGAAACCGCGTCAAAAAAGGTTCATTCGTTACAAAATGGCGGCATTTCAAAGTTCTTGCGGAATATACCTGCACAGGCCTTAGTAATGGTAAATACTCATAGTCAAAATTAGCCGGGAAATCTGAAACCCATTTAAATTTGTTTTGAAGATTGAATAAACTTAGTCTATGGGCTAGTTGACTTTAAAATACAATTTCAGCTCTCAAGATAATGTTTAATACGAGTATTTACCAATATTAAGGCCTGTAAAGGTATATTCTACAAGAACTTTGAAATGCCGCCATTTTGTAACGAATGAACCTTTTGAGATGCGGTTTCCGGCAATGAACTCCACTTGACCAGACCTTTAAAATGATGTGCATATCAACCTATGCTTACATTAAAGCTTTTGTACCTACTCCTTACGGGTCGACCCCTGGTGGAGGTAAAAACACGAAAATGCTTGGAAAAAGTAGTTTTTATACATGTAAGTTGATGTTAAAAGTTTGACTTTTCTAACGGATTTAGTTAAAAAGATATTAAGCCGTTTCCAGACTTTTTTGTCACCCTGTATTGTTGGGCCCTATAACCGTACTAGACTTGTTATGATTAATTGTGCAGTATAATGTTGATTATTTTTTTTCAGTTGGGCAGATTATTGGATTACTGATATACAACAAACATTGTTTTAAGCCCAAGCAAGATAATAGGCTAAATACTGGTGTTTAAATACATCACCCATCACCACGTCTATACAGTATTATGATTAATCCCCACTGAATAGAATCCTTGCTGTATTGCACTTGACTGTACGTCTGTATTAGCGTGGTCTGGGCATATAATTACTTACTGGTTGAGGGAAAATAACCGATATAAATTTTACCATAAAAATAAAATCCTTTACTTGCCGATGGTAAAACTAAATTCGATTATTTATTACTAAAGGCTTTGTCAAATAACAGAACGTAATATGTGTCTTTTTAACTAACTACGATTGGTTAAAGCTACGACCATTGGTATAAATTGCATAATTAAATGATAGACTTATTATACGAGAACAGTACCGGTACCAGTTGCTGAATGGTTGAAGAACCATAATATCCTATAAATTGAAAAGTACACAAACAGACTCAAGAAATTTGTATGTTGGCAATTAAAAACGTTTAGCTATGTAAAAACGTTATTACAGCACGATCAAAAACTCATTTATGGGATTTTTACGTACCAATCAATACATTTTCTAACAGCAAAGCTTTAAATTAAATAACAATACTGTTGTATAACTTATCCTTATTATGACTTTGCTACCAAACCTTTTATTTCTTTCAAGAATAAATAACACAATCTGAAACATTAACGCACAGTGTTGTCAATTAGTTCGATAAAAATATCCCAAGTACAAACCAATCACCCCATATACAAGTTTGCAAGATAAATTCAATCTGAAATATTTCTACGAAACAACAGAGATGATAAACAATTCAAAGCTACGTCCCAGGTGATGCTGGTGATATGCAGCCTGGCGTAGCACATATTGGTAGACAAATCGGCAGTCGTTTGTGCTGCGTTATCATGGAACATGGCCATAACTCACTCAGATGCTCAGCATTAGCGATGAGCTGCGTGCGAGCTTGAGCTTCACACAACCTGGGGTTTCGTGAGGTGATTCGGGATGGTTTTGGGAGGAAAACTGTGGATTAAATAGTAAGTTTCTGGTTTAATCATTAACTCAGTCGATTCGTAGATCTCTTTAGTTATTCTGTTTCGTTGCGATTTGTACCTTTATAAACAAGTTTAGTGTGTAATAAAGCAAACTATCTAAGCGATTTTATAAGATTGATATCCATAAGTCATATTATTAACAGTTTTATTCCACTTAACAAAGTAGTAACTGAAATTCCAGCTCATACAATCTATAATTACTACTGTCAATTTAGTACCCCGGTTCCCGGTTCTAAATTGATATAATTTTGTATTACTACAATTTTGTATCGAATTATTCTGATAAGCTTTCTGTTGCATCACCTGTTCATCTGTATCATATTTTACACACAATATAGATTTTTCGAAATAGTTTCCCCAATTGTGTTTGGTTGTGCACCTTATCCCTTGATCATCGTATTTGTCGATAAGAAGAGACGTTACTCGAACAGTCAACTAAATTATATGAGTGCTTTACCCTTAAACTTTGAAGTGAAGTCTAAACTATAGTACGTGAATGACATAATTAGCTAGTTGGACAGAGTGTTTTGATAAGCAACTAGTGAATTTTGCAGTTGGTATGTTTACAGTGCTGGGCACGGCGAGGACCCAGTCGTCCACAAGCCATGGCCAGCCCCAGGCCGGGTCCCCCAGTATCCCGTGCCCAACATAGTTTGCTAGTTGTACAGAGTGTTTTGATGAGTAACTAGTCAATGTTGTAGTTGGTATGTTTGCAGTGCTGGGCACGGCGAGCCCCCAGTCGTCCACAGGCCATGGCCAGCCCCAGGCCGGGTCTCCCAGTACCCCGGGCCCAACATAGTTTGCTAGTTGGACAGAGTGTTTTGATGAGTAACTAGTCAATGTTGTAGTTGATATGTTTGCAGTGCTGGGCACGGCGAGCCCCCAGTCGTCCACAGGCCATGGCCAGCCCCAGGCCGGGTCTCCCAGTACCCCGGGCCCAACATAGTTTGCTAGTTGGCCAGAGTGTTTTGATGAGCAACTAGTCAATGTTGTAGTTGGTATGTTTGCAGTGCTGGGCACGGCGAGCCCCCAGTCGTCCACAGGCCATGGCCAGCCCCAGGCCGGGTCTCCCAGTACCCCGGGCCCAGTGGGAGGTGTGCGAAGAGGCAAGGGGTGGCGCGAGTGGCGCAGAGGAGATCCCACCCTTATTAACAGTCTCTGGAAGAGCAAGACACCACTGGGTGAGATATACACTCCGTTAAAACTTTTTTATTTTAATGATCTTCTAAATTCACTAAATTTACTGCTCATGATGTTCTGAAGAGTCTACATTTAACTCTTTTTCTAGGCGATTCCCCACTCACAGCTTGAGTTCTTACACACGTTACTTAATGTAAAGATTATTTAATCACAAATTTAATAAGGCACTATGTTTTAGGTTTGTTCTCATTCAGATTCTGAATCACATCAAACTTGCTGTACATAAGTTGACTGTTGTGTGTGTTTCGCAGGTAACGCGGAGATGTATATCGTGCTGGCGCTGCTGATCGGGTTCGTCACCGTCGTGATCGGCTGCTGGCTCTCTGACAACTGTTGGTCTCCGGAGCCCGAGCACCTCACGACGATTGCATAGCATCTCCACACCAGGGTGGCGAGGATACACACTGTCGTCATAGAGCAGTGGACCGAGCCACCGGTGGTACCTGTCATTCAGACTGTCTAGTGAACTATCGAATAGTGCAATCGACTAAAACAATCGAAACATCGCCATAGAGCAGTGGACCGAGCCACCGGTGGTACCTGTCATTTAGAATGTCTAGTGAACTATCGAATAGTGTAATCGGCTAAAACAATCGAAACATCGCCATAGAACAGTGGACTGAGCCACCGGTGGTACCTGTCATTCAGACTGTCTAGTGAACTATCGAATAGTGTTATATCTCCTAGTCTGTATATATGATGAATATTAACTTTGATTTAATTTATTTGTCATATGGTTTGGTCTTGTTTTGTTGTTGTCATAATAGTTTTATATGAGTTGTTGAAAATAGAAGTGTGGTTTTAAAAAGTCTAGTTTTTTTCTAATTTTATCTTTATAGTTTTCATCACTTTAAGAAGGTAGGTGTGTAGTGTAAAACAACATTTGGCGACCGTGACAGGATTTGTTTTTTCACCTATCTCTATGATGGAAAATCTAAAGAAAAATAGAACAGTATATAGGGCTTATTTTTCTAAAACATTGAGCAAACTAAACAGTTTAGTTGAAAATGAAACCACAGACAAAATTGAAATTCAAACCACTCTAAAGCTTTTGGAGATAAAGGTTGATGAACTCCAGGTTTTGAATTCTCAGATCTTTGATTTGTTATTGAATAATGATAATGTTTCTGAAGATGAGCTGTTAGCTGAAACAATCAAAGCTGGAGAATATTTAGCTTTGTTTGAAACTGTAAAATTAAGAGTCCAGAATTTACTACAACAAAGTAACGATGTAGTTAGTGCTCATTCTGGATCTTGCTGTAACAATGTTAGGAAGAAGAAATTTAAGCTCCCTAAAATAGAGATTAAAAAGTTTGATGGAGATTTGATCAATTGGCTACCTTTTTGGAGTCAGTTTAGCAAAATTCATAGTGACTCAGACATTGATTCAGAGGATAAGTTTCAATATTTATTGCAATCTATAGTTACCGGATCAAGAGCTTTTGATGTAGTTCAGAGTTTTCCTCCAACTGGTGCAAACTATCCAAAAGCAATTGAATGTTTGAAAGCCAGATTTGGTAAAGATGACCTATTGGTAGAGGTTTATATCAGGGAACTCTTAAAAATTGTTTTACAAAATGCTCTAGGAGGCAAAAACACAATGAACTTACAAAGTTTATATGACAAACTTGAGTCTCATATGCGTGCATTAGATACCTTGGGAGTTACAACAGATAAATGTTCCTCCATGTTATACCCGTTAGTTGAAAGTTGTATGCCTGAAGATCTCTTAAGGGCGTGGCAAAGAAGCCCTTTGAAAGTAGGTACAGACCCTCAGGAAAGACTCAACAATTTAATGAAGTTTATGTTGTCTGAAGTTGAAGGGGAACAGAGAATCGGTCTAGCCATGGCAGGTTTTGGGATAAGTAGCTCGGGGAAGGAGAAATCTTTTAAAAGGTCATCTCAAACTCAACCAGGTAAGATAGACATACCAACAGCTTCATGCCTCATGTCCTCTGGTAAAACTCAAAACTCTTATACAAAGTGTGTCTTTTGTGATAAGAATCATAAGAGTAGTAACTGTTTTGCTGCTCAGAAATTGCTATTGTCTGATAAGGTGTCCACTTTAAAGGAAAAGAAATGCTGTTTCCTTTGCTTGCAGCCTGGTCACCGTATTAAGGATTGTAGAGCTCATTTGTCATGTTCTAATTGTAAAAGGAAACATTATCCTATAATGTGTCCTAGTATTCATTCCAAAGAAGTAGTGAATGAGTGTGTAAGCAAATGTGTTGATGAGGTATCTAAAGAAATGACAGTAGTGGAAGATACCGCTTTGGCCAATAAATCAAGTAGCAGAGTAAAAGTGTTTCTGCAAACAGTAAAGGCAAGATTAAGAACCCCAGGTAGTAATCAATTTGAGACTGTTCGCATTCTTTTTGATTCTGGTTCACAGCGTTCTTACATTTTAAAAGACTTGGCTGAAAAAATGAATTACGAAAGCTTAGGAGAAGAAACAATCATACACTCTCTTTTTGGTAATGTCAAATCTGGTGAAGTAATTCATAACAGACATCGTGTGTTTCTAACCAGTCAAGATTACAGTTACAACTGCAACTTTGAGGTATTGAGTCAAACTACCATATGTGGGGAAATTCCACCTGTTACCGAAGGTGCCTGGATACAGGAACTTATAGAGAAAAATGTTTCTCTGACTGACATACATGAGACCAAGCTACCAATTGGTATTTTGATTGGAGCGGATATAGCGGGTAAACTATTCACGGGAAATATGATTCAACTGAAATCTGGACTAGTGGCTATGGAAACTCTTCTGGGATGGACACTGATGGGTAAGGCTATAATTAGTGGTAGTACAGGTTCAACTACACTCTCCACTGTTGTAACATCAATGTTTATTAATGATGCTGACATATCGGAACTGTGGAGATTAGACACTATAGGCATTACTGATACAAGTGAATCAGTTTCCAAAGAGCAAAAGGCTTTGGCAGTTAAAAATCATTTTATAAAAACTACCACTATAAATGAAGAAGGTCGATATGAAGTAAGTTTGCCCTGGGTTGATTGTCATCCTCCTTTGCCTAGTAACAGAGAGTTAGCCGAAAAGAGGTTATCAACAGTTGTAAAGAAATTGGATGGTAACAATTTTACCGTAGACTATGACTCAGTTTTTAAACAGTGGTTAAGTGATGGCATCATTGAAGCTGTACCTTCTGACGATTTGAACAACAACTTTCACTACCTGCCACATAGACCTGTAGTGAAGGAGAGTAGTATTACCACACGAATTCGTCCAGTGTTTGATGCATCAGCAAAGACCAAGTTTTCACCCTCATTGAACGACTGTATTGAAAATGGACCAAATTTAATTGAACTGATTCCTTCTGTTATGATGCGTTTTAGGGAAGGGAAGTTTGGAGTTATTGCTGATATAGCAAAAGCCTTCTTACAGATATCGTTAAATGTACAAGATAGAGATTTTCTTCGGTTTTTATGGTTTGACATCAATGAAAGAAGCCGAAGTATTGTTTACCGCCATAAAAGAGTTGTTTTTGGAGTGAAATGTAGTCCATTTCTTCTAGGGGCAGTAATTGATCTGCATCTTCAAAAATCTATGACTTCTCAGGAGTATGATGATAATGTGGTAAAGAAGCTGAGTAAAAGTTTTTACGTGGACAATGTTTCGACCAGTGTAGATACTTATGAGGAACTAAAACACTTTGTTGAAGAATCGAAACAAGTTATGGCTGCCGCTAAGTTTGATTTAGGAGGATGGCATGCCACGAGCGTCATTGAAGAAGGAGATACCAAGTTCGTCACTAATGTTTTGGGAGTTCAATGGAACTATATTGAGGACGTTCTGTTTTTTAACCTCACGAACTGTATTAAAGATTTGGACGTGTCTCGAATCACAAAGAGAGACATTTTATCCATATCTCACAATATCTTTGATCCAATTGGTATCCTTTGCCCTGTTACTTTGTTTCCTAAACTTCTTCTGCAAAGTATGTGGGACTTGAAAATTGACTGGGACACTGAAGTAAGTTCAGACATCAGTAAACTATTCATACTGTGGTATAATGAGCTAAGCGCTCTTGGAAAAGTGAAAATACCCCGATGGATAGGTAAAATGACTATGGATTCAAATGGTTGTAGTATTCATACATTTTGCGACACAAGTATAAGATGCCTATGCTACAGTTATTTACTTGAGAGTTGAAATTGAAGATGAAGTAAGAGTCCAATTATTGTCGGCAAAATCAAGAGTAGCTCCTCTGAAGAAAACCACGATTCCAAGGTTGGAATTATCAACCGCCACGGTGGGAGCACGTCTCACAAGCTGGACGAAAAATCAAAGTTCCAAAAAGGTTCATGTTTGAGTAGTAATACTACTCGGTGGGAGGATGTTATATCTCCTAGTCTGTATATATGATGAATATTAACTTTGATTTAATTTATTTGTCATATGGTTTGGTCTTGTTTTGTTGTTGTCATAATAGTTTTATATGAGTTGTTGAAAATAGAAGTGTGGTTTTAAAAAGTCTAGTTTTTTTCTAATTTTATCTTTATAGTTTTCATCACTTTAAGAAGGTAGGTGTGTAGTGTAAAACAACAAATAGTGTAATCGGCTAAAACAATCGAAACATCACCATAGAACAGTGGACCGAGCCACCGGTCGTACTTTTCATTCAGACTATCTAGTGCTAGTGAATTATCGAATAGTGTAATCGACTAAAACAATCGGAACATTGTCATAGAACAGTGGACCGAGCCACCGGTGGTACCTGTCATTCAGACTGTCTTGTGAACTATCGAATAGTGTAATCGACTAAAACAATCGAAACATGGCCATAGAACAGTGGACCTAGCCACCGGTCGTACCTGTCATTCAGACTGTCTAGTGAACTATCGAATAATGTAATCGACTAAAACAATCGAAACATCGCCATAGAACAGTGGACCGAGCCACCGGTGGTACCTGTCATTCAGACTGTCTAGTGAACTATCGAATAGTGTAATCGACTGAAACAATCGAAACATCGCCATAGAACAGTGGACCGAGCCACCGGTCGTACCTGTCATTCAGACTGTCTAGTGAACTATCGAATAATGTAATCGACTAAAACAATCGAAACATCGCCATAGAACAGTGGACCGAGCCACCGGTGGTACCTGTCATTCAGACTGTCTAGTGAACTATCGAATAATGTAATCGACTAAAACAATCGAAACATCGCCATAGAACAGTGGGCCGAGCCACCGGTCGTACCTGTCATTCAGATTGTCTAGTGAACTGTCGAATAGTGTAATCGACTAAAAACAATCGAAACATCGTCATAGAACAGTGGACCGAGCCACCGGTTGTACCTGTCATTCAGACTGTCTAGTGAACTGTCGAATAGTGTAATAGACTACAACAATCGAAACATACCGTTATCATAAAGCAGTAAACCGTGAGTGATATAGTGAACAGTAACAGTGACTACAACAAAACCTCACGTCCTCATAGAGCATGGTTGATCAGTAACTA